GTTTTAGCACCTATTGTGTGGAAGATGGCAGAGCAGATGGCAGGTGCAGCCCTGGGGGGACCTGAGCAGCAGGAACAGAGGAAAGGAACTTACCCCAGCCCCCATTCGGCAATGCACCTTCTCATTCTTAGCCTTTTTCTTTTTTTAACCAGGAGAGAAAATATAATACCTGTGTAATTAAAAATTAATTTTTTAAATCACATGTACATAAAATACTGGGTATTTGCTCAGGTCGATGTTACCAGTCATGTCAACCTCATCTTAAGGAAAAGTAATATTTATCATTGAGATTACAGTAAGAAAAATGGGAAATACTACTGAAGGATTGCAATATATCTTTTATTGACATATTAGAAATATCTAAGTAGTTCCAGTACATGGATTTTGATACATCCTTGAGCACGTCGTCAGCTTGAGACTAGGATATAACACTGTGGAGAACCAGTTCAAGCAACACACTATACATCTGAAGTACCAACACACACAAAGGAGAGAAGTCAGACAAAACCTGCATTTACTGGATGAAACTCTAAGAGAATCAACAATGGACTTAAGCAAACAAACAAAGGCTTTGGAATGTCTAGAAATTAAACCAAAATTCCAGACTTTAAAGTTTAGACTCACATTCTATATTTTGATAAACATTCAGGGAGTCTTAAGTAGATGGGTTATTTAAACTACAGTTTGCAGCTAACTTCTGTAGTGACTCTAGGCTCCCCAAAATCTCTGATCTAGAAAGCATGTTTGAATCTAAATATGCTCTTTTAAAAGCATACCTGTGCAGTTGGTTAACACGAAGAAAATTGCCCATGTATGCATTAACCATAATGAAGTTTTGCCGTGGTTATACTAGTTTGCAACAGTTTAATTCAACTAATGCAGCATCAAATAGTGATGAAACAAGGTGTTATCTGATAACTGTCTACAGAAAGGCCAATGGAAAGGTCAAGACTGATGGATGCAGGCAGTGAGTTGCATCAGTGTGCCTGCTGTTACACGTTTGTGCGACGGACAGGCTGTTCCGATGGGCATAGTGTTTTACCTAAGCTAATTGCTATAAATGGACCACATTCACTACTTAGGATAAATTAGACTTTCAAATCTTAGCTAAAGGTTTAGAAGAATTCTCTTATGCAGTGCCTTGCTATCCCCACAGTTGGATACTACTAGCAGAAGTTAGTTTTAACTGGCACTAATGACAGTTGGAAAAGTACTTAAAAGGTGTAGTGTGTGTGTGTTTAATGAGCTGCCGAAAGCAATGGTTGTCTATCTGGTTCTCTCTTTAATGAATGCATCAGAGAGTTGTTGCCTTGCCGGTAATCATGTCCACTCGGTAAGAACTATTACTGTCTAAATGGTCCTGAAGAGAGTGTGGGTTGTCCACACTAAACCAAGTTCATGAGCCCTAGGTTTTCACTCGCTTATGTGCTATTCTTCTTACCTGCTTCCCTTTCTATAAAGTCCAAGAGGCCATTAGCACTCGTGTCTAAAATCCCAAAGGCCAACGTTATGTGTCAGTCATCTTACCAAATCACGGTTTGAATTGCCTTTAAGTTAGTGGGACAGCCTAGCTAGCCAGCCAGAGCACACCTCCATGCAGCTTGGTTGCTCTGGACGTATTTCCACCATGTACACGATCATTCTCCCAGAACAAGGGTGATCAGCCAAGGTGATGTTGCCTTCAGGAGACATCCAGCCATGTCTGGGGACACTTTTGGTTGTCACTATGTGCGGGGAAGATGCTACTGGCATCTGATAGGTGGAGGCTGGGGATGTTGCTAAACATTCTGTAGTGCACAGGGCAGCTCCCCACGACAGAAAGTTATCCAGCCCCAAATGTCAATAGTGTCAATGTTGAGTATGTACCTGTCCTAAAGGAATTACTGAAAAACAAGCACTTGGTGTATTTATAACCATCTTTAGCACTTTTGATTGGGATATTCAGATAAATTTCTGGCAAATGTTATTAGAGAAATGGTCTGATGTGGAGAGCTTCTGTGGCTGAATTTATTTTACTTTACAAATGAGTTTAGGGCTCAGTATTCATAGAACCTTTAAGGATCTCAAGGGGATACTTGAATTTTTCAGCTAGACTTCACTTCGTGTAGAGTATTATGTATTATTTGAGATTTGGGGGCTTCAGAGGTCTGAAGAAGTATTAAAATTAGCTTCCTCTTATTTAGTTACTTCTAGGCACAGTTACAGATACTTCCACATATGAGCTCCTTTAATTCTCACCACAACCTTGCATGGTGAAGCACTACTCACCCCATTTTACAGATGAAGGCTTGGGGAAGTTAAGCTAATTCCTTAGGGTTCTGCAGCTGGTAAATGATGAAACAGAGCTGCAAACCCAAATCTCAAGGCCTTTTCTCTTTCCTCTATGTGGTGCTATCCCCAAGGATTACCGATTTTTTTTAACCATGGAGCAAACATATCTAAACAGCATGAAAGGAAAAATAAATGGGAAAATAACCAGAAATATCTTCGTCTAAAGTGTGGCTGCATTATACCAAAGGTGCTAGGTGTCTGCTTCCCTTCTTGGGTTCCTGCAAAGTGGCTTAAAAAGGTTGTATAGGTTGTTTCTACGAATCTCCAATCACATAGATTCTGGCCAAGAAGAAACCAGCTGTTCTTGGATTACCCAGACGAGTGAAGGATAAATGACAGTTTGCATCCCTTAAAATTTTCAGGCTACAGGTGGTCCCCACTGCTTCTGGTCTAAAAATCCTCTGCTCTACTTTTTAATCTTTACAAATCTCATCAAAATGTATCATTTTAGCTTGGGGAGATCTCACCAAGTTTTTTTTTTTTTTAAAGAATAATCAGGAAATGCTTCTTACAGATCTATTCTATGAGTTGCGTTATATTCAACTCCAAATTAGCTAATAGCCCCTGACTGTTCACAAGATTTCAGCATAGAGCCTGTGTCAGGGCAGGAGGCCAAGGAAGTTTCATTTCTGGGCAGGATTCACCGCTGAGGCACCAGCTACTGTGACAAAACAGAATTGGGGGAACATGTAGATGTAGTAGTTGGGGACTCAGAGCACACCCAGATTAGCATGTGAGTAAAGTCTGTAACTGGAGTTTTGAAAGATCTCAACCATGCTATACTAGACGGTGCCCCTGGACACAATAAGAGCCAGCACCCGTGTGCCAGAACCTCTCTGTTGGGGGAATTCTGGTTCGATTCCTCTAGATATAACACAGACACCCAGACCTAATACCTAGAGATTGGTTTTGAGCTTTTGCACATTCTAGCAAATGTTGAAGCCTCATTTTCTTTGTAGGCACTTTGTAGATTTATTACACATGACACACTCCAGATACCATCTTGCGATTTAAATTCTTGTTTGTCCAATGGGAAATAACCGGTGTCACTGGAATTTGACACAACATTGTAAAATGACTATAACTCAACAAAAAAAGTAAGCGAGTAAGTAAATAAATAAATAAATAAATAAATAAAGTTAGCAGAAAGAAAAGAAAAGAACCTGTGTCAGTAGCTTAGATCATTGTACCTGCTATGTGACTTTCAAACTCCAAAGGTTTTCTTCCTTGGGAGAATTTTTTGGGTAATTTCCTCTCCAAAACCCCTTTTGCACTTTTCAAGCAGGCGGATAAGAACCCAGGTGTGATTTCAGGAGGGGAGCAGCACCCTGTCTCCATGTCTTCTGAAGCAGCCACACACCAACATTGAGGGATGATGAGGATACGGAGAACTGTGCGGCTGTGTGGGTCTACATTATGGTTCTTTTCATAAGCTACATAGATTAAAAGAAACCGTCTCCAAAAGCATCTAGGTCATGATTTCTTCAAAGTCAGACAGCTGCTTCATCTGCTCAACTTGCATAGAATGCCTTCTGAGGAGTTTCTTTTTACTTCTCAAGTCAACTCTCTTTGGTGAGCTTGGAGCCACAGGAACCATGGATTTTAAGCCACTAGCAAGCGGAGAGGAGGGTTTGCTGCTCGATCTAATATCTGGGATCGGTGGGTTCAGATTTACATTTAAAGGTGGAAGGAAGCCAGGCCTGGTCTGAGAAATTCGGTTTAGTAGCAGAGTTCCAGAACCTCGTCTTTCTAGAAGGTGGGGTGGCCTGCGGCGCGCGGAGCTGGGGGATGTGCTGGGCACAGCATCCGGGGACTCCCTGGAGCCCTGAAAGAGAGACAAGTGGGAGCTGTTGAGCTTCTTTCGATCTAAGGGTCCTTTGCCGGATTCAAGGGAGATAGAGTTGGGTGGGTCAGCCCCTGGCTGTGAATCTAAATCGTAGAAGTCATTTTCCAGCCGTCTGAGGGACACTGCATCTTTGAGAGCAGATGGGCCGGACGGGCAGATACCACTCTTCTCTTGGTCAAAAGGGAGAGTCCCTCTCCTGGCCAGACGGGGGTGGGAGGCCTGGTTTTTCTCATAGGCTGCCTTCCAGGAGGCCGGTGCCGAAGAGGCTGGAATCTTCAGGACCTGCTCTGTGACTGTGTGGAAGAGGGTGGGGTCTTTGCTGTCAATACTGTTGGTTCTGGAAAGAGGTCCCCGTTTAGGGAAGGACACGTCACTAATGCTCTTGAGGGCCTCGTTGTCTGTGCCGGCACCGTGGGTCTCGTCCTGGCGTGTGGAGGCCGCCAACACAGAGGGTGCAATCAGGCCCCAGGGTTCAGACTGGAGCCTCTTCAGTTGGGGTAAACGGGCCCTTTTGAGGTTCCCGACTTTCCTAGTGGGTGACCCGGGTTCATTAAGAGCCTTAGAGGTGTTGCAACCACCCTGGATTGGATGCCCTGATTGGAGGCTGAAGAAGTCGTCCTTCTCACTGGGCGGAGTGCCCAGGCCTGGGGCTTTCAGTTCAATATCAGAGGGGGATGCACACAGTGGAGGCGACTGCCTGTCTTCCTCTTTGGGTGAAGGAGGGACATTAAGATACTGTTTGGTGGTTTTGGTGCCTGAAGATGATTTATCTGTTGTGATAATAATCACCTCCTTGCCTTTGGCTTTGCAAGCATCAAGGAGATGTTTCAGTGCATCCTTGTCATCTGCATTTATTGCATAAACCAGAGCTGAAGCCCCCGTGCGATCCTCCAGGCTGGGATCTGCTCCATTCTCCAGTAATAAGGAGACCACTTCTCCCCCAGCTCTTCTGATGCAGGCGTGGATGAGGGCAGTCTTGCCAGACTTATCCTGAATATTGGGGTCTGCCCTGTTGTCCAGCAGGTACTTCACCATCTTGGACTTGCTGATGCTTTGCTGGTCCACATGTTTGGTGATGCATGCCACCATGAGAGCCGTTTCGCCTTTGTCATTGCTTTCATTGATATAAGCGCCCCCTTCCAAGAGGAGCCTGGTCAGCCTGAGCCTCCCCAGCCACACAGCCTTCAAAAGTGAGTTTCCATCAGTCCTTAATTCGGTGTCATCATCCATCATGCTGGCTACACCTTAGAGTCTTTGAGCCACAGTGGTGATCAGACCTAGCAAGAGAAGAAAAGAGAAAAGTGTATTCTGTAGCTGATCTGAGCAGCATGGCTGTTACAGAGCCCAGTTCAGTCATGTCCCAGCCTGATCCCTAGTTCTGCCACCTTGGTCAAGTTACTTCACCATTTCTTCATCTGTAACGTGGTAGGGGACAGGGGTGCGGGTGGTAATAGGAGCAAGCTACTATTAGTAGTCATTGTGAAGATTAAATGAGATTGTGTCTATAAAACACTTAACCACACGAAAAGCAGTTGACATAATGCCTAGCATATAGTCAGCAATAAAAATGCAAACTGTTGCTGCATGGATTGCACAATACTTATCACAAATGCAGTTTAAGAAACTTTGCTGTCTGTCTGCCGGCACCACTGAAGTCTGAGTCCCAGTGAGGAAAGGTCTGTGTCTATCTTGTTCCCTGCTGTATCTTCATCGTTTGGCAATGAGTCACACTTGCTTGGTTGCCTCCTAAAAAGTGGTTTAATGCGTTGTTGTTCTAGGTATGTATCAAAAAACCCATGGGAAATACACCAGAAGTTTGGTAGGATTATGGCTAGTTTTCATTTTCTTCTTTTTGCTTTATTTCCTAAAATAAACATGTATAATGATTGTAATGGGGAGAAATACTGTACGACAAAGTCAACCCAGGTTGTAGTCTCCGTGCTTCCAGCAGAGGTCAGAGTTCTCATCCTCCTCATTCAGACTTGCAGAATAGCTCAGATAATGCAGTGCTACATCCTCCCCTCTGGTTGAACAGATCTGAGGCAGAGGATGGACAGGGGATGGCTTTTTTTTTTTTCTTTTTTGCTTCCAAATATTAGGAAATAAAACTCACACCAGAGCTTTCCCTGCTGAGGTTTGTCAAACCTGGGTTTTCTGGTTTGGTTCTTCCCATGTCAGTTACCTAATTCCTGGACTCAGAGCCTCCAAACTGGCTGTTGGTCAAGAGGTCTTCAATGAATGAGGACAGATGGTTCTTCTAGAATGGATGCCCCGCCAGCCCCAGGTCCCTCTCTGGCCTAGGTCTATGCCAGCATGGCTCCTCCACATGGATTTTTTTGTCCCTCGGGCTCCCACTGAGCAGATGCCACCACACCTGAGTTTTCCTTCTCCTCTGATGCACCTCATCCTTCCTCCAACCCCCACTACCATGAGCAGTTACTGATCAATTTACATTCCTCTAGTAAATAAGAACTCAAAAGTTTGTCTTGGCTGAAGTTGAGAGATGGAGATATATGTATGTGTTTATATATATATATATATATATATATATATATATATATATATATATATATAT